CAATTCAGCCGGGGCCAGAGTTGGTTTTTTCAGGAGAGGGCAGACCATCGCTTCCTTGAGTGCCTCAAGGAACCGCCCCTCCAAGAGGGACTTGTTAACAATCTCCCTTGAGGCACCTCGAAACCCTTCGTGGCCCGCTTTAATGACACATGTTCAACAATAGATGCATTCAGTGTAACCTGAGATTACTCAATGCATGTATAGAGAAGAATCAAGTATATACTGTACATGGATTTTACATGCATTCACAACAACTTCTGAACAGGGCTAGTGTTCTCTGGGTAAGGATTTTTCACAACCTGAGATTACTCAATGCATGTATAGAGAAGAATCAAGTATATACTGTACATGGATTTTACATGCATTCACAACAACTTCTGAACAGGGCTAGTGTTCTCTGGGTAAGGATTTTTCACATGTTGCTTTTTCCACTTATTGCTATACCATGATTCACCTAGCCTGTTTAGGCAATTAGTGGTCTGCTGGTCATTAGTTAGCTGTAAGTGAGGCTGGCCACATTGGTGCTGCAAAACCACTTAAAAAATATTTAAGTGTGTGTGTTTGTGTGCTTGCCTGGAAGTCATGGTGACTTCTGGAAACCTCTACTGGGGGCTTGGATGTTTTTCAGAGAGGTGGCTTGATATTTGCCTGCCTCTGCATCCCACCTCTGGTATTCCTTGGAGGTCACCCTTCCAAGTACTTGCCAGGGTCGGCCCTGCTTAGCGTCCGAGAGCTGATGAGATCAGGTTTGCCTGGGCTATCCAGGTCAGAGCCAAAAGCACTTATAATGGGGTGCATCACAATAGGAAAACTGCATTGTGAAGAAAACAACTCTGGGTTCATGGTAGCAAGTCATAAGACTTGGCAGGTTGAAGCTTCAATTACTATATACTAATAAGACTGAGGCAGAGGTGGTAGGAAATGACAGGCCAGGCAGAGGGTAGCTGTTCACAAACCTCTATTCAGGAATGTTCTTGAGTGAAGGAACACACTACACACAAAAGAATATAGCATAAAACATGGAGACTGTGGCCAGCTTCTGTACTCCACACAATATGCTGTGTTTCAGTCCATTCATGTAATAGAAGATAAGAATAAGTTTTTTATACCCCACTTTTTATACTTTAAGTAGTCTCAAAGTAGCTTACAATCACATTCCCTTCCTCTCCCCACAACAGGCACTTTGTGAGGTAGGTGAGGCTGAGAACTTCTAGAACTTTCTCACCTCACTCTTTTAACACACATTTGCTGTTGGTCATTCCTACTGAAGGTATAATTGCTCATTTGCAAAATTCCAATAGTGTTAATAAAGATTCCCATTCTTTCACCTAAGGCAGGGGTAGACATCCTTTTTGGCCTAAGGGCCAAAAATCTGCAACATCTAACTGTGAATATATTGGTGTGCTGGCAAACCTACATGAAGCAGGGAGATAGCAGTGTTGTCCTTGGCCAGAAACCTTGGGAGTGAACAGTGCCTTGGGGGCTGATCTCCATGTGTGTTGGAGTTGCCCAACCTTGACCTAAGGTGTATTTGCAATAGATATCCTGCTTTTGTGGAGGGCTTCATTTTGGTGATTCTGCCTTTGCTTAATTAGAAACAAAAGTCTTTCTGTGTGTTTGTACTCTGGCTTTAATTATGATACGGGAACAGTACGTCTTTTAACTGAGTGTATGCATTTCATCTCGTCTTGAAATCTGAAACAGCCATCCTGTTTCCATCTGCGTAGTAACTTTCCCCCCGCCTATTTTTGTTTTCAAAGAGAGCTACCTCTTGAGTTGCAGAAAATATGTGATAAAGAAGAGGTGGATGTGAAAGTGCATGATAAGAAAAATGAAGTGTATATGTTGAAGAAGCCAGTATTTCATGCTTTCACTGGACAAGGATACAGGTTAGGAAGGTGAGCAGTCCAATGATCCCCCTCAGCTGCGTAGTCTTGTGAGCAAAAATTCTAATCAAAAGAGCTGCTAGCTTAAAAGCTGTGAGTGAGCCTAGATTTAAATTTTTTTAATTTCAGTTTACAAACATATAAACCATGTTGACCTTACTATTATCATTTGTATTCCTATTATACACTGTTATCATGTTTTGTAATTTTGTTATGGCCTATGGCTAACACAATAAATCCTACTTAACTATAACTATTATCATTTGTATTACAAGTCATATAAACGATTATCATTATAAACTATTATGTTCAACAAGGGGACAACAGAAGGGCAGCTTGAATGCATGCACCCATTTAAACATTATGTGAAAACAGAATCGAGTCAGATTTCATTACATAGAACAGCCTGTGCAAGTCGACAGACTTGTAGTAAAAGCACCGCAGAGAAGATACAGTATCATATGTCAATCAGTACATTTTACACCCAGATGGCAAGTATGGAGACTGGTACCTGCCCATTTGTTG